ACGAGATAATAAAATAAAGAGCATCTGGTCTCAGCAAAATACTTTCTAAAAACTACTATTTCCTCTGTCTTTCTCAAGGTGAAGATCCTACTGGCCATCATAGGCTTTGTGCTGTTCGTAGCCGCAGTGTGTACCACTGTGGTGCTTATCCAGATGCTGGGGAACCAGCCTGCCGCCCCTAATGCCGCCTTGACCACTGTCCAGCCGGACACTGAGCTGTCACCAGAGGCATCTCCCCACACTAGCAACAAGAGTCACCATAGCAACAGCAGCACTAGCAACAGCAGCGGTGCTGCGATTGTCAATGACAGGTTGATGTCACAACCGGTAGTAGAGCCAGATTTAGCGACCAAATCGAATATTCAAATTGGCAACGATGTAATACTTGGAAATGACATGAAGAAAAAGCACAATAACACTTATCATAAAAGAAATAATAATACAAAAAACAACACAGATGTTACCATCAAGTCAAGAGAAGAAATAAACAGCACTGGCTTTGACAGAATCGTTAAAGAAAATTCTAGTACAGAAGACCAAGCAGATAACAGTTTATCTGAAAATAGCGGTTTTGACTCTAGAAAAACCACAGGTGAACCGCAAACAAAAATAGAATCGTACGTTGTGGAAACCCATACCGACCTATCTCTAAGTCCCTCAACAGCTGGCGTGGCAACTGTAATATCAAACAGAAGTGAGGTTAGACGAGGATCAGTATTGTATCCAGACGAATCATCTTTCCAACAAAACACCAACGATGACAATGAAGAGGACATCGACAATACTGTTCATACGGTGAATTATAACGAAAACTTAAATGAAATTAACGACCGTCTCCGGCCCTCTCACCGAGATTCTGAAGGTAGAAAAAGAACCAACGTCGTTGCAACACTTCCCGAGAATAACCTTCCTTCAGAGACACCTGATACGGAAGAGATCAGACGTATCCCTGTCTTCACTAGCAAGGCAAAAGGCAAAGACGACAGAAAAAAGAAACGCAACAGACACAAAAGTAAAAAGAAACTCAATCGGCTAAAAGTAAAGCCTACGATTGGACCGTCTCGAAAACAAAACCCCACTAGTGCCGTGCGCCCTGAAGAAAGTAGTCGAAAAACAACAACGTCAAAACCAGTTTATTCCAGGGTCAACGATCGGTATGGAGTTGGTTTGCAGCAATCGAAACATGTAGTGCGTCCCGAAAAAAGTAGTCGACAAACGACAACGTCGAAACCAGTGTATTCCAGTGTCAATAATCGGTATGGCGCTGATTTGCAACAACCAAAACCTGCCTTCCAAGAAGGCTTGGTTCGACCTGGTGCTGTCGGGGAAGAAGAAGGAAAGGATAACAATAACCCATTAGGCAGAGGTTTACAAGACAAACAGACAAGTGGTCTGTTGTTAACAAAGCCTAAACAGAATATTGTCGATCGCGATGGACAGTATGAACAACACTTCGTGACTTTGTTGCAAACTGACGTATCATCAACAGCATTTCCAACGATTGAAACGGCTCGACGTAAGACACTCCACAGAAAAAACAGCAGTGCCAGAGGCCGCAACAGAGTCATCAGCATTACTAACAGCAGCAGCAGCAGCAGCAGCAGCAGCAGCATTAATGGGATCAGCAGAAGTGAGAAGAAGGCTAATGTAACACATCACTCTGACAACAACAATAGCACTACCCCAGCCAGCATCAAGAGTAGTACCAGCCCCACCACCAGCAGAAGCAGAAGCAGAAACAGCAGCAGCAGAAATCGCAGCAGAAGCAGCAGCAGTGGCAAGATCAGCAGCAGCAGAAGCAGAAGCAGCAATAGTACTACAACCGCCAGCAGCAGAAACAGTAGCAGAAGCAGCAGCAGAAATAACAACAGCAGCAGCAGCAGCAGCAGCAGTAGCAAGAACAGCAGAACCGAGAGCAGTTTGAGCAGTGGCAGTACCAACAGTATGATCATCGACGGTCCGGACAGTGGAAACAGGCTTAGTCAGAGCAGACACAGGGGAAGAACAAACGACAGCAAGAACAGCACCAGTCGGGACAGCATCAGTCGATACAACAGCAACAAAAAAAGAACAGAGTACAGAATCAACAGCGATAGGGACAACAATAACAAGAGCAGCAGCAGCAGCAGCAGTGACAGCGACAGCAACAGCAGCAGGAGCAGCAGCAGCAACAACAACAACAGTGGACCTAGAAGCAACAGCAGAACCAGCGGCAGCAGGAACGTTAGCAGCACAGAGAGCAACATTAAAGTCAGTAACAGCAAAAACAGCGATAGGAGAATCAGTAACAACAGAAACAGCGATAGGAGAATCAGTAACAACAGAAACAGCGATAGGAGACTGAGTAACAACAGAAATAGCGATAGAAGAATCAGTCACAGAAGAAACAACGATAGCAGAACCAGTAACAACAGAAACAGCGATAGCAGACTCACTAACAATAGGAACAACGATAGTAGACTCGGTAACAACAGAGGCAGCGATAGGAGAAATAATAACAGTAGGAACAGCAACACCAGACACATAAACATTGAAAACAGCAACATCGGAAACGGTAACAACAGAACCAACAATCGCAAAATCGTTGACAGCAAGAACAACAGTAGCGGTATCAGTAGGAGCAGAAACATCAACATCAGATTTAACAAGAGCAGAAAAAATAACAACAGAAACACTGATGGTGGTCGGAAAAAGACAAATCCGAACAGCAACGACGACAAACTACAAATTGATAACAACAACAACAACAACAACAACAACAACAACAACAACAACAACAACAACAACAATGGTGAGATTAACAACAGAGATAGTATTCGCGATAAGATCAAAGTTCAGCGAAAGTACGCTATAGACGTGCCTTACCATCGGAGACGACCGTGGAGAAAGGCCTCCAAAAAGGTACGTCACCATCTTTCATTGTCAGTGTGTAACTGCAGTTGGGCACAGATAACACGAACACGGAAAACTCGAAATCACAAGTAGCTCACAGAACATGCCATTCCCCAACTGAACATGCCAATCTTCAATTGATATAAATTAATCCTCTCTAATTTTTCGTTATAACGGTTTACCCGAATTATGGATGTGTCGAACGCATTTTTTTGTCAATCCCAACGTATTTGTTATCCTTGCCCATCTGTATTTCATGGCCAAGCCTAATGATATACTTGAGTGAGTTTAACGCCCCATCCATTATAGTAAAGTGATTTATGAAAGGGACCGTTCATTTTAACCTCTAACTACTTTTTTTGTTCGGTAAGTGTTTTTCGACGTTTGCAAACTATATAAGGGCATATGAACGCGCGTGACACATTTAACATTTTCAGTTGGTAGGAAATTTTGAATTTTGCACCGGTGGCGGCCCTTCGACTTTGGACCACCAAGGGATTTTTAGCGTGCGCAAATTGCACACGGGACCTCCAAGATTTTTCGCCCTTATCTAAGAAGGCTAGGTGTCAGATCTTACCAGCCATAATATCAGGGGTGTGGCTGAAAGACAGCAGTAAGAGGAGCCAAGGAGTAGCAATAGAAAGTAGAAAGGCTGCAGAAAGAGTCCGGTGCCCAGAGGAGAGGACAAAGGAGGTGAGGGGCTGGGGGCAGAAAATGCAGACGAAAGTAGACGACAAAATATTGTTACAGAGCATAAAAGAAGGTGAAAGGGGAGACTTTTAGAGAACAAAATTTTCCATCGCTGTCAGGTTTCAAGCCATGGACCTATTGAATGTGACGCAAACACCGTGCTCCGGATCTCTCGACCACGAGAGCCCCTTCTAACTACGATAGGATCAAGTCAAGATGGTGGGGAGTAATGAAACTCAACTTACAATTCAATTTTTTGCATTATGCAAGTTAAGGATTTGATCCAAGGTAGCCTGCACTGCAGTACGTCAAGTTATCCACTGACAGCATGTCCTCCAAGCATCCTCGACATCACCCTTTAGTATAGACAGGGAAATGTGCAACGGTGTATGCATAGCGGTAGACATTCGTATAAAATAAAAATAAACGTATAAAGAAAACCTACACTTGCCTATCGAGACGAGCTCCTTGAAGTGATTTTTTAAAATGGCAGTCTCGTGATTGGGGAGAATTCCCTTCAGTTCATACCATGCCGAGTTCCTTTTGGGTCATTATAAGATTGGTCCCTTTTGGACCAGTTGTGATCTTTAAAGCAAATCTTTGAAGCACCCTTGAAAGTGTTCATTGTAATGTGTCAACATAAACCACTCCCCAACCCACCCCTCTTCCTTTTAATGGGATAGTTCACCAGCCAAGTTTAGAAAGTCAGCACAGGCACAACAAAGCATTCTCAAAATCTTTTAGGTGCGTTGAACTTTTCTCACATTCATTGACCAGCATGTATTCGTTACTGTATAAACTCTGATCGTCATTTCACCCGATTACTACCTGGCGAGATAAATTTACCCGTTCAACTGGCCCAAATGGGATCGGATAAATACGTAAACTAGTTCAAAAAGGGACGCAACCTTTGACTGACCCTGACTAATCTATAAACATGACGGTGTTGCTGTCAAGTTCAGTTCGGTAACGTTGTTTACATCTCCGGCCATTCCCCTTTCACCCGGATTTTAATCAAGATGGTGTTTCATTTTACACCGTGTTCCGTTCGAGTATTACTTTAGTTTCTTGAAATAACGACTGGTGTTGAACTTTCTTTAAAAATTCTATTGTATAGAAGGATATAATGAATCAGTCATGAGAGGGAGATATTTACTTATACGTTTCATGTGTTCTTTGTTCGTGTTTGTGTTGGACGAACAGAAGGGCGACGTTATTTCCAGACTGGATGTCTCCTATCTGCCCCCGTCACCGCTTCATGATGATGTCGCAGTTCTACAGACAGACTCGTGAGTATTGCAGACGTTTTTATTTTTTTATTTACGTGCTTTTATGCCCACATCGGCACAATAATTTAGATCCTTTAGGAGGTGGGCATCCGATCCTGGCTGCCACGGCCAGTCCGGGGCTGAGAGGGATACAACACCCAAGCATAAAGACCGAGATAATCATCATTAAAGCCTTTCATCCCTGGCAGGGTATAGGCCACATACAAGCTCCTTCCATTTATCTCTGGCCTGGGCCATCCTTCCTAGCTCGTTCCAAGTGAGCTTCATCTCTCTCATGTCCCTTTCCACACATCTCCATGTTTCACATGGCCTACCCCTGCCTCGTGCTCCTTGTGGGTTCCACTGCAGCGACTGTCTTGTAATGTTTCCGCCGGGCTTTCTGAAAGTGTGTCCTGTCCATCGCCACTTTCTTAGTCCTATTTCTACTTCTGTGTCCTTTTGTTCTGTCCTTTTTCACAGCTCTTCATTTCTTATTCTATCCTGCCTCTTTATTCTTAGGATACTCCTCATACATCTTTTGATGAAAGTCTAGACTTTATTCAGCACTGTCTTTGTTGTTTTCCAAATTGGCAGCCGTAGAGGAGCTCAGACTTGAAACTGGAATTAAAGAGTCGAACTTTGGTGCCCAGTGAGATGTTGCTTGCTTTCCAGACATTTGATAATGGATTGACCTTGCCTTGGCGGTTCTTGTTTTAAACATCGGACTCAGTTCCACCTTTACCATCGATGACACTTCCAAGGTAGGTAAAGGAGTCCACTTTTTCCTGGGGATTGTCTTCCACTGTCACAGCAAGGCTTGAAACATTTCCTGGCTTCACTACTCTCGACTTGCCCAGATGTATACATAGGCCAACACTCCTTGATAGGCTGTTGAGCTCCTTGGTCTTTTCTTGCATCTGAGCATGTGTGTGAGAGAGCAGTGCAAGGTCATCGACGAAGTCTAAGTCGTCCAGCTGCAGCCAAGGGATCCACTGTATTCCATTGCTCTTGCATCTGGTGGCTTCTTTCATGACCTAGTCTATTGCCAGTATGAAGAGAACAGGTAAAAGCAGGCATCCTTGTCGCACTCCTGTATGTATCTGGAATGGTTCTGAGAGTTGTCCTTCGTGAAACACTTGGCAGTTTATTCCATCACAGATGGCCTTCACAAGCTTGACGATTTTGTTAGGTATTCCATAATGCCGCTTGAGTTTCCACAGAGTTTCCCTGTCCACGTTGTCAAATGCCTTTTCATAATCAATGAAGTTGACAACGAGTGGTGAATTTCATTCAAGCGAGTAAAAAGACCGAGATACTAGATAAAAATGTCTCCCAACTCGGGAATCGAACTCGGGTCTCTTGCTTGCGGTAGTGAAGCGCTTTACCACAGACAGTGGTACTCCAGAAGTTCCTTAATATTGATTATTGAAAGTAAGACTTTTAATTAGCGTCTTAAAAAGTCTGGAAAAAAATCCAGCTGTTATTAAAGACGGAAAAAGAACGAGTTGGAATGGGATACTTAGAGAGATGATGATGATGATGATGGTGATGATGATGATGATGATGATGATGATGATGATGATGATGATGATGATGATG